GCGGGGAGTCTGCTTCTCCCTCTGACCCTCCCCCCTCTCATGTGCTCACTCTCTCTCATTCTCTCGCTCTCAAATAAATAAATAAATAAAATCTTCAAAAAAATAAAACAAAATACTTGTAATTCAAAGTCTGACAGGGAAGAGAGGCCGAAGCAGACAGATCTCGTAAACAGGACAATGCAGTGGCATAGAGGACTTATGATAAGCTGGGCCTGGGAGAGTCAGAAACATTTCCTGGAGGGAGAGATGTAGAGCAGGACTGTGAGGGAGGGTGGATTCACGGGGCTTTCCAGGCAGGGCCGGCAGCATGTGGAAAAGGCACAGGACATAACAGAACATCGCACACAGGACTGTATAGCTGCAAGAAGGGGATGGTGACAGGGACAAAAGACAAGGCTGTAATAGGAAGGCAGAGCAGACATGCCAGGTAGTTTTTAACCTGAGGAGCAGTAGGACCAGAGCTGCATTTCACAAGGTCTCCGTGGAGGCAGGAGAGCAGTGGGGGGTGGGGGGAGGGGTGGGGAATGAAGGCAAGTCTGTAGAGAGGAACACTTAGGTGTCTTGAGTGCGTATCACTGGATTCAGCAACATCTCCCACTTTTCCAAAACACTGTTCCACAATCACATCTTATAGAAAGTGCCTTTAAAAAAAAAAAGTGAGAATTTTTAAGGCCCATTTCTTAAACACACATACATGCACACACACAAACACATGTTAATAAAACCAGGTATGACTGTATCCAGAAACCACACCATGTAATTAGATAGCAATTCTTTCTTTCTCCGGCTCACAGCTCTGCTGCCCCCTGAGTCAGCATCACTGTCAGGTCAGCTCTTTGCCCATGGTGTCCCTCAGCAGCCACAGGTTTAGATAAGCCTAAGGGGCTCTTGGCTGGCTCTGTCAGAACACTGTGTGACTCTTGATCTCAGGGTCATGAGGTCAAGCCCCACGTGGGGTGTAGAGATTACTAAAATAAGTAAATAAACTTGAAAGAAAGGAAGAAGGAAGGAAGGAAGGATGGAAGAAAAAGGAAATAAGCCTAACACAGAAATCCCAAGGGAAAGGCCTGCCATTCTAGCAAGACTCACTAACTCCTGTAGACAGGAGGTGCCCTGTTCCAGACGGCAAGCCTGAGCCCAATGCCCTCTGCTGGGACTGGAGATCAGGCCATGCCAGCATACACATAACATCAAGAGGGACTGTGGGGGAGCGCTGGTTCCTCAGGGAAAACTTGGGCACTGTCACCAGAAAACAGAACAGATGTGAGGCAGACAGAAAGGCAGGGTTCCACCATCGACTCCTCCTCTCTAGCTGGTGGGGGAGAACATTTTTAGGGGCTCGTCCCCAATTCCTAAGTTTCTCCCTAACTGATGCTGCCCAGACGGAGGAATGGCAGGCTTCTGGCATCACTCAGTTCTGAACAGTCTTTCTCATCCTCACCACAGTCCATTTGAGAAGCCTCATTACCCTCACCTCCCACTGAGGCTGAGAGCCGTAGACTAACTTGCCCAAGGGTAATGATGTGGCACAGGGAGGCATAGGAGTCTTAGCCTAGCTCACGCCAACCCTCTAAAGCAGTCATGCTGTGGGATGTAAGACCAATTAGTAGAGAGCTCGGGAATGATCATGCTTCTTCCCCATTCCAAGCCCTACGGTGTCTCCGTGTCACCTGGAGGATGAAATCCTAAGTCTTTTCATGACATCCATGACACTGAGCCTTCCCCCCTCCCTCCCCACTCCACCTCGCATCCCACTTTACTTCCTGTGCCTGGCAACAGCTGAATAATTCATGTTCCCAGAGCACCAAACAGTTTCCCAGGCCATAGTGCCTACTCCCGCTGATTCCCACTGTGAACGGCTTGCCACCCCTCCCCATCTGACAAGACGCACGCTGCCTGTTCTCCTGCCTGTCCCTGGGTGCTGGGCCCGATATGTCTGCCTTGGCTTTTCCTCACGCAGGTCTAGTTCAGTGCCCCACTGCACACTCCCTTATCGCCTTGTGCATCATCTTCCCATAGGACACATTAGTTTATAATTATTTTGTATCCATTTTTTTCCATTGAACTATAAAATATAAAAGCTCCTTGAGGCTCAGACTGTGGTTTTCATCTCTACCTACCTAACATACATATGTGGTACATAGCAGGGCTATGCTCATTAAAGGAATATTCTGAAGACCAAAACTTTACATTACTGGCGACCTTTTCAACATTCCATAAGTTCTTCTGTCTTACACTAGCAATACCTTTTCTTTTGCATGTATATTATACATAGATGATTCAGTACAAGGGCAGGAAATAAAATACCTCCTAGAATTTACTACAGGAAAAATTTTGTCTTATGTGAACAACTTGATAGGATTCCTTTTTGTTGTTAGAACATGAAAATACGTCAGCCACCGTCATCCCATTAATACCCTGGCTGCAGGAAACTCAGGTTAAACCTGCCAGATTTATACTAACCGAGGTTACATGGTTCTAGATAGAATTGTCTCTTCATTCCCTCCAATTGTGTTACAGTTATTATAAACCACCTTAAATGATTTTAGGAAGGAAACAGAGACACGTAGGACACACTAGATAAATAACGGCTATCATTCAATGTTTTTGCTTCTGATGAGCTCCCTGATGAAGGTAACAGAAACCAGTGTCTTTGCCAAACTTATCCAGAGTCAGTCCTAGTGGGAGCTGAATAATGACTCCCAGTACCCAGCCTAATCTCCTGTGCCTCTGTCTGTTCTCCGGGTCTGATCTGCTGGACGATAGATCTCTGTTCACAACATCATTTAATAAATAAATACAAATGATTTGATCAGCCTCTTGGGACCACCACACATGTCACCTCCTTAGGTGGGAAAAAACTATCAACTCAAGCTCCACAATATCTTTAAAAATGAAACAAGATGGTGATGTCCAATGATGATGAGAAGAAGGATGGCTAAGATTTATCTAGTGATTACTCTGTGGGAGGCATGATTCTAAATGTTCCATGTATATTTATTCATTTAAATACCATGACAACCTGTGCAGCAGGTTATTATTATCCTAATTTTACAGGTAAGAAAATGAAGGCACTGAGAAGTTAGATAACTTTCCAAAAGGTCACACAGCCAGTAAGTGGTGGGCTGGAATTTTAGCCTATATATTTAGGTCCCAGGCCCATGTTCTTGACCACACAGCTCTGTGGCATATTAAATAAGACTGAGATGGCCAAAGCCAAAAGTAGCTGAGAACTTTAGAAGAAAAAAAAAAAAATTAACTAAAAGTATGACCTGCTGTCTATCTTTTTTATTTTCCTTAGACTCATTACCCTAGATTATAATCAACACCTGACCAATAATGTCCCACTGAGAGCATGATAACAGGTGCGTGGGCTGTAAGGCGAGACAGACAGAGCTGGGCTCCCCCTCCCCCTCCACCACATCCTGGCTGGGGTTGCCCAGCATGTTGCTTCATCCAGCATGCACAAAGTCGGCTGGCTGCAGGCTTCACAGATCTTCCCCTAGTGCCCATGACGATGCTAGTTCTCTTCTTCTGAAAGGGAACTAACATCCCCCTGTCCACCACCAGAACGCATGGTTGGTATGTACTCCCACCCCCCAGCTGGCCCAAGTAACTTGTCTCAGTCAGGGGCCTGGCTGGCCTGACACAACCACAGGGTCTCGCTGCCCGGAGAAGGGATGGGCACAGGAGCCAGGCTGAGAGCTGCCCCCGGCATTTTTCTAACTGGCGGTAGGACACGCTTTTCCTGTCCAGTCAGAGCTGTGAGGGCTTCTGCCCACAGCTGGCAATGACCTCAGCAGCAGGGTGTTTGAGAGAATAGAGGCGGTGTGGAGGGAGGCCCAGAGAGACACTGCGAGCACTGGAGGCCCTGGTCCTAGTGTCCCCCTTCTTCACTCTAAGGTCACCAAACATCAGCCAATTAACCACCTTGAGAGGAGAAAAAGAATTTCTTTGGGTTTCTATCACTTTCAACTAGATGAGTTCTAACTTTAACTCTGAAACTCAGTTCCCTTATCTGCAAAACTGGGAAAATAAAACAAGAACCCTATCCTCCCAGGGCAGTTGGGGAAATATTTTAAGTACTTCAGCAGTGTGTCTTAAGAACAGAAAGGGATGCCTACAGTAGCACTCGTCCCAGAAGACCGTGGGGTCATTCTCAGTTCCTCTCTCTGTCACAGCCCACGTGACAGCAAGAGGTGTTGGGCGCACCTCCAAGCTACGTCTAGAACCCAGCCACTCCTCGAAATCTCCACTGCCACCACCCCGGTCCAAGCCATGATGTGAACTACTACACACAACCTCCTAACGCCCCCTGCCTCTGCTCTGAGCTTGACAGTCCATTCTCCACACGGCAGTCCGAGCAATCCCACTAAAACGGTGGTCAGAGAGAGGAACACACTCCAGAGGCACCTCACCCCACTCAGCATGCACGTCAGCTGTCCCCGACCTGGCTGCAACCTCCCTCGGCGCCTCTCCTGTTCCTTCCCCACACTCTGCTCCAGACCAGCCTTCTCGCTGGTCCTCGACAGCCTCCAGGCTCACAACCCAGCGCTTCTGTACTGGTTTCCACTATCCAGGACATTCCTTTCCCAAATATATTCAAGCCTTGCCCCTCTCCCTCTGTTAGGTCTCAGCTCAAAGGCCACCCTCTCTGTGAGGCAGTCTCTGTTTAACACTGCAGCCCCCACCCCTTCCAATCCATTTTCCTACCTGTTTATTGTCTCTCTCCCCTTTCTAGAATGTAAGCTTCCTGACAGCGAGGGGTTCTGACGGTTTTGTTTCCTATTCTTCCCAGCACACAGCAGGTACACGATAAATATTGGCTGAATGAACGAATGAATGAGTTTGTCCTCATCCCCTTTTCTGGGGGTAGGGCGAGGGCGGTAAATATGGACTACAGCAGGAAAAAATGTGGAACTCTTACAACAAAACTTCACACTTACTTGGCACAGCGTACCCAGTGTGTATGTCGGTACAAGGAGTATAAGAAACGCTGGCGATACATGTTCCATACTTTGATGGATTTGTCTTCAGAGGCTGTAGCTAGAAACTGGCCATCAGCTGAAAAGTCTACACTTCGAACTGGAGCTGTATGAGCTTTAAATTCAGAGGATTTCCCTCTCCTGGAAATAAACAGTTTAATATTTATAACACTGGATTTCACTATAATCAATATGTAATCAGCATACAGACTTTGAAACATATAAAACAGTTTAACACCTATAAAAAATTAACAAAAGTATGAAAAGTTTCTTCATCAACACTCTTTAAAGCTGGTTTTATTAATTAAAGTCATAACTGATACTTAACAGGAAAGATCCTGGTGGTCCCACCCAGAAATGCACTTGCTGTTTTTGTTTTAATTGGAAGCTAGAGAATATTTTGAACAAATCTTGACCATGAATTTTAAGTTCCTGTTGTTCCTCTAGAAAGAGCAATAAATAGTTTAAAGAACCTGAAACCTAGAAAAGCTAAGACAGATGAAATGAAGAGCTCCAAGAAAGTATTTTCACACTGGGGCCATGTGAAACTTGTGTGGACCAGCAGTCTAGGTTGGGAGGGAAGAGATGCCCTTATTCCATTTTCCCCTCTACAGAACATAGCTCTAGGTGAGCTGACTTTCCTGTTTCCACTTGTGTTTTCACCCACCAGCAATGAGAACTGAGACCCTCGGGGTATATCTAAGGCCTTGCTTAGGCCAGGCCCAATCTTATACTCCTAAGCAAAACAAAGGACACATGGTAATAACATACTCCAGTTCTCAACACTTTGAAATTTCAGATGTTGCTTCTTTTTCTTGACTAGGGTGAGAAAAATAGAACAGGAAAAGAAAAGATGGAGAAAATAATGTGTGGCATTTAAGGAGAAGCACCAGAAAAAAAAAAAAAAAGTTAAAATAGTTACGGGCAGGCTAGCAGAGAGCACTGGAGTTCAAAGGTAGCATTTGGAAAGTACTACTTTGTGTCAGCATTCCAAAGTTCCCAAGACACTTCAGAAAGTGTCTTTCCATTCAGAAAGTCGTATTTATATATAACTGTTTGAAAAACATTGGGCAACAGAATGTGCAGAGTGAGAAGTGATACTCAACTGTTCCCCTTCTCTTCCCACATTCAGTAGGTCAAAAAACAGATTCAGTGATAGTGATATTGCTATCACTTCCCAAATATCCTTTCAACACCTCTTCTTTCTATCCCAGCTATGCTCACATTAAGGTAGATACACCCTCCATATCCTTCACCGAGATTATCGCAAAAGCGTCTTAACTGGTTTCCCTGCTCTAATCTTTTATCCCCCTCCAGTCACCTACATACCGTGCTTGCTACCTCCCTAAAAGTGTCATTCTAAACATGTATATCTCAGCATAAATTTGTCACTGGCTGCCCTCCAAGAAAAGGTACAATGCCCAAGCTCTTCAGCAAGGCATCCTGCCGTTACACTGAACTTTGGACTCAGAACAGTCCCCGAACTTCAAACACACCTCTGTCTTTGCTAGATTAGCCTAGATTACTTCCTCCACCCCAACCCCCCTTGACCGACCCAAACAGGCTTAATTGCTCCCTAGCTGCTACATCCATTTTGCTTATTACATTATACAGTACTTAAAAAAAAATAGACCTGTTTCTCTTCTATTAAGCCGTGAGTTTTTTGTGTTTTTTTGTTTTTTAGGACAGGAATGATGATTTGTTCATCCCTATAAGACCAGCATCTAGCACAATATCAGGCATATAAAAATAGCTCAATACATTTTGTTGAATTCCACTGGGAAGAGTCACTACTTAAGGTTCTTAGATCCATCCCGGCTTATCCCTCCAGTGGTCTGTAGAAGGTAAAAGTGACTTTGTCAAAAATTTCCATCACCTGATACATATTATACCATGCAAAACCTAAAATTGATATTTTTTTAAAAAAATAGGAAGGAGCATTCAGGGTCTAGTCCAGTGAAGTTTCAAGGGAAAGTTCCCATGAGTGGCAGTTAGGAGTATAGCCTAGAGAAAACAAAGACAAGACTGGCATCTGCTATGAGCAGGAAGCCAGGAGACGGTCCGAATCATCGGAATCTGCCCTGCTCTTTAGGTCTACACTCCACACTCCAGCAGGCTATCCGGCTGGACTTCTTTCTAAAGGGCCCGCCTCTCGGCTATACTCTGGTGTCACCCCTGGACCCGGGCTCAACAGGAAGAAGCAAGAAACCACAATAGCAGTGCCTTGGGCCTGCTGTGCTGTGGCTTAACTGCTTTGTAGCTCCTCACCTCGCCTTGACATTGGCTCTCTGCCCACACATATTTACGTCCCCTTTGTGCCCACATTCTCTTGATTGCCCACTGTGATGAACTCCGGGCCGGAACTGCTTCCATGCTTGTTCCTACTATTCTCCCCTAGCCTGCCAGTCACCAGGTGTGGTGTTGGCGAGTACGGCCGCCTACTCCCTCTCATCCCTATATGCACATGCCGCTCCTCCCCACACGAGGGGGAATCTACCGATTTCTCCTCCCTCTGAATCTGGGCTGGTTGTGACTTAATTTGACCCACAGAATGAGGCAGAAGTGACACTAGAAGTGTCAGACCTAGCCCTTCAAAGGACCAGCAGCTTTCATTTTTACTGTCCTAGAACCCAGCTGCCAGGACAAGGAAGTCCTTATCCGGGTGCAGAGAGGGCAAACGGAGGACCAGGTGCCCCGGCCAACAGCCAGCACCAGGCCACAGGCGTGAGTGAGGTGCTGGGCCTGCCAGCTTAGTGAAGCTGAGTAACAGCCAACATCAAATGGGGCAGAAGAACCATCCAGATAACCCACAGAATTATGGGAAATGACAGTTACTGTATTAAGTTAAATTTTGAGGATGGTTACGCAGCAATAACTGATATATCAGTCTCCATCCCACTGCTATGACCCACGATTGCCCTGGCCCCACGATGCTACGATTTAGACGAGATCGGGCGCGTTCAGGGTGGTATGGCCGTAGATGATGCTACGATTTAGAAAGAGGAACCAGAGACATCTACTCAAGCCCAACTGTGGCACTTAGATTAGCCCATACAAATTAATGATTGTATGCTTTTAGCGTTTCTACCCTTGTATATAGTTTAGTCCCTTAGAGTCCCTTGAATTAGTAAGGGCAGACGGAAGCTTGTTGTGCTGAAGACAGTAGAACCACTAGCCCTAAATCCTCAAAGTTAAGGATTTTAGAAAACACTTTCCCTTTTGGACCCCAAACCAGTCTCTCTCCCTCGCAGCTCCCCTGTACGTTGCCACCCGGAGTGTCATGAGAACATGTCGCTTCTCTTCAGTAGTTTTCACTACCATCAGGGTGATGTTCAGATTTCTCAGCCTGGAGTTTCACTTGGGTGGTGGCAGAAAACAGAAGTGCCTCCTGGCAGGAAAATGCCCTGTGAACGTCCACAGGTGCCACAGGTGGGGGTGCCTGAGACTGTTCAGTCACGTACCACGAATCAAGTCCTGCCACAGTAGAGCCAAGGCAAATGCTCAAATTCCTATTCTCTGAGGTATTTGTGGGGGGAATGATATGATGTGTGGGAGTTGTTCTAAAAATACTCTAGCTTAAAAAAAAAAAGAGGAAGGGCATGGATGGAGCCACTGATAACTGTTATAAAGATAGCTGCTGGAGGTGGTGGAGAGTATGGGGGAGAAGTCGTTGTGCTATTCATTCTGTTTTCATGTGTGTTTGAAAACACATAATTACGAGTTCAAAAAAAAAGAGTTCAAGAGCTTTTTAAAAAATCATGGCTCAATAATTGCTTAAAATACATAAGCTATCAGCTAGGATTTAAAAAGCCTCTTATAGAGAGATTTGTTACAACAGGATAGGAATGCAATGATTTATACATTTGTCAAAACTTTCTTTAGCCAGAAAATTCCGGAGCCCAATAATGAATGATATGCACCAAAGAATAGTTCTGGCTCAGGGATTAATAGATATCCAAAGGCCCCCAAAAGATCCACAGATGGGCGATAGTAGGTTAATAAATTATAAAATTTCAGTTATACATGTCGATGTGTACCTCTCTGGGGAGACAATCTGAAGTTTACAATAGATTTATAAAGGGATTGATAACCATCCCGCTGCCAAAAAAAAAAAAAAACAAAACCCTTAAGCATATTTCCATGGCTAGAAATAGGTTTCAAATAGAAGAGATAATTATGAGTTAAAGATGAGGAAAAAAGGGTATGAAATAGTTTGCTAACTTTATGACAAGGGCAACACGTCTTGCATGTGACTCGGACTAAGGGCAGTGCAGGTAACCAGGAGTTCAGGCATTCCCGAGAAGTACAGAAGGAACAGCCAGGCTCATTTTCTTTCACATTCCTATATCCAGAGCATATCAGGTATTTCTTTGTTTCTCTTACTTATCAGGAATCCAGAGTCTAACAGTTCTGTCCCGTGAAGCAGATGCCAACAAGTTTCCAAGTGGGGAAAACTGCACGCTGGTTACAACATCCTTGTGACCCACATATCTGAAAGCCCTGGCTTGTGGCTTGCAATTCCACAGCATGAGAAACGTGTCCCAAGAAGCAGTAGCTATCAGGAAAGAGAAAAACAAACCACTGAGTGTTAAAATGCAAATATAGGCATGTCTAATTACAATGGGCAGCCTATCTAGTAACAAGAGGTCCAGGTAACAGAGGGGCTGGATGTTGTAAGGCTGACCAGGTAATGGAAAAAAATATTTTAAAAAGCAACCCAAAGCTCCATCATTAATGTGCAAGCTTGGCTGCGTCCTATGCAACCGCAAGTCAGGATTACTGGCTCCTGCATCTGGCTGGAGCTCGATGACAGTTTACTAGAAGGTGGCAGCACAGCATAACACAGTCCACAGGACTAGAAGAAGTTTTGTCTCTAACTCTCAGGGTGACTGGGAAAGTTACTTAACCTCTGGGTCACAAAGACCGAACGCTTTTCCTGAGAGGGCTGTATGAGATGATTTTTTAAAACTGTTTAAGTGGAGAGAATTTCACACTTAAGAGGAAACATAAGAATAGTATAAAGAAGATTAATATACCCTTTGCCAGATCTACCTGATGTTAATGTTGTGCCCCATTTGGTTTGTAATTGACTCTTATGCTCACTTGTGCTCACTCTTTCTCTCCATATGCAAGCGAGCGAGCGAGCTCTCTTTCCCTCTCTCTCTCTCTCTCACACACACATTTTTCTTTCCCCGAACCATTTGGAAGTAAATACACCATCATAGCATCTTTATTCCTAAATACTTCATTGTGGTTTTTTTTTTAAAGATTTTATTTATTTATTTGAGAGAGAGAGTGAGAGAGAGCATGAGAGGGTAGAGGGTCAGAGGGAGAAGCAGACTCCCTGCCGAGCTGGAAGCCTGATGTGGGACTCAATCCTGGGACTCCAGGATCATGATCTGAGCCGAAGGCAGTCGCTTAACCAACTGAGCCACCCAGGCGCCCTTCATTGTGTTTTTCTAAGAATAAGGATACTCTCCTATGTGCCCATAGTACCATCAACTTCAGGAAGTTGATTATTGACAATACTTTAATCTACCAACAGTTTTCCAGTTCTGTTAACTGACCCAGTGATGTCTTTTATAGCTGGATAAGGTGATCTTGAAAGTCTCTTTCTGCTCTGACATTCTACAATTAATAAAAGAATTGTGTATGTCAAACAATAGCTTAAGGCTTTAAGGCAATAAAAACAAATGCAACCAATGGTGGACATAAATGCTTCCAACAAAGAATGAACAAATAAACAAATGAAAGATCAATCTAACTCTTGCCCCCAAATCAAATTTTATATATGCATGCAGCCCCCAAGTTACCCCAATAATAGGAACCAGGTCAATAAGAATCACCGTCTAGATTGCAGAATTCTTAGAAAAAAATGCAACTTTATAAACTTGAAATACAATTAGTATTACTGTTAGAAGAGAATATAAAGTCACTGAAAACCTTCTAATTTCTTTAGCCATAGATAAAATTCACGTGGACTTAGGCATGCATTGTTTCCATGTAAAATAGCTAAAGTGAATTTTAAAGTTTCAGGCTATAATGCTGTATACTACCCCCTTTTTAAAAAATAAAAAAGTTGATGTTCTATCACAATGCATAAGATTATTAAATATTTATATTAGAGTCTGAATTATCTGGAGCTAATGTAGACAAAATAGGGAAAACAATGAATTATCACATGTGTTATACTTAGGACCCTATTCGAGATCTAAAGTATTATGCTGCAAATAAGATCTACAAAAAGAAGACACAATCCCTTGCCTCAAGGAATCACAACATCATAGAGGAGACAGTTCATTAATATCATACACATTCAGAGGACTTATACAAATTATTCATTCTATTTTCTGTACCTCCCACTCCTCTTTATCTACTGTGCCCACTCCCCCCTGTTAAGCACACTATGTTCTTTGAATTTATCAGTCTGTTTCTTTTTTTGTTTGTCCATTTATTTGTTTTGTTTTTAGATTCCATATATAAGTGAAATCATATGGTATTTGTCTTTATCTGACTTATTTCACTTAGCATAATACCTTTGAGGTCCATCCATGTTGTCACAAATGGCAAGATTTCATTCTTTTTATATGGCTTAGTAATATTCCAGTGTGTGTGTGTGTGTGTGTGTGTGTGTGTGTGTGTGTGTGTGTACACATACCACATCTTTATCTGCTCATTCATCAATGGACACTTGGGTTGTTTCCATATCTTGGCAATTGTAAATAATGCTACAGTACACATAGGGGTGTATATATCATCTTAAATTAGTACTTTTATTTTCTTTGGGTAAATACCTAGTAATGGAATTACTGGATCATATATTTCTAATTTTTTGAAGAATCTCCATACTGTTTTTCATAATAGCTGCAAAATTTATGATCCCATCAAGAGTACATGAGGTTCTTCTTTACATCCTCGCCAACACTTATTTCTTGTCTTCTCGATTCTAGCCATTCTGAGAGGTTTAAGGGGATATCTTGCTGTGGTTTTTATTTGTATTTCCCTCGTAATTAGTGATATTGAGCATCTTTCCATATGTCTGTTGGCCATCTGTATGTTTTCTTTGGAAAAAATGGCTATTCAGCTCCTCCTCCCATCTTTTAATCAGATTATTTGTTTTTGGGGTGTTGAATTGCCTAAGTTTTTTTCTATATTTTGGATATTAATCCCTCATCAGATATATCATTTGCAAATATCTTCTCCCATTCACTAGGTTGCCTTTTTGTTTTGTTAGTGGTTTCCTTCACCGTGCAAGAGCTTTTTATTTTGGTGTAGTCCCAATAGTTTATTTTTGCTTTTGTTTTCCTTGCCTGAGGAGACAGATTCTAGAAAAATGTTGCTAAAGTTGATGTCAAAGAGATTACTGCCGATGTTTTCTTTTAAGAGTTTTATGATTTTAGGTCTCACATTTAGGTCTTTAGCCCATTTTTTTCACTGAAATTGAATTTTTATTCCAAATGACTGTAATGGCTAGAAAGACAACAGAAAAAACTGAAAATGATTTGTTTAACTGGAAATTAGAAATAGTTGATTTCAGGAGAGCAAGCAATGACAGCCTGGCACTCTGATAACAGTCATAACTAAGAAAGCATAAAAATAATCCATGTCCCTCTGACACACAATCTGGATGTGCAGCACGTACAGCAATAACATCAAAAGAAAGAAAGGAGGAAAGAAAAGAAAAATAGGGGACAAATCCACAAAATTCCAAACCTCAGAAATTAACATTCATTTAAGCACACAGTAGTGAAGGTTTTTGGTAGCAAAACTTTTTCATAGTTCTTAAAAGGGAAGTCTTCAAAAGTACTTCTTCAAATTCAAAAGCTAAAAACAATGAAGAGAGAACAGTTACACTGGCTTAAAAGAGCTGCTGCCTGTCACAAAGATGACGATCAGTCCTACTTCCAAACATAGTGAGATCTGATGAACCCGACAACAGAACGGAGAGGCCTCCTGGTAGGCAATGACGTCACTGTGAAACAGTTCATTAATAAATATCATACGTGTTCAGAGGATTTTTCATATATTCTTCATTCTTAGTGTTATGTGGGGTGGCTAGTGATCCTTCCTGAGGAAAGGGCTTTTTTTAAAAAAAAATATTTTATTTATTTATATGGGAGAGAGAGTACGCATGAGTGGGGAAGGGCAGAGGAAAAGGGAGAAAAAATCCAAAGCAGACTCCGCACTGAGATCACAACACGAGCTGAAACCAAGAGTCCGACGCTTAACTGACTGAGCCACCCAGGTGCCCCTGGAAAGGGCATTTGCACATAGACTTGGTGCAGTGAGGATTGATTCAGGCTGACTTGTGGAGGAAGAATGCTCTCTGGGCAGAACAAACACCACGCATGACTGCCCAAGTCAATGTATTTGAAAGACTGAGGAACAGCAAGGAGACCAGCATGTCCACAGTGGAGAGCAGAAAATGAGAACAGTGGGGTGAAAGCTAAGAAGAAAGCAGATTCCAGGCAAAGAGCCATGGTAAGACATGTCTATTTCATGCTAAGTGCAGTGGGAAATCTTTGAAGGATTTTGAGCAAGGGGGATCTCATGACCTGAGTTAAGAAAATTACCACTCTTACAGTAAGAAAGGACGGTCTTTACAAAAAAATGATGCTGGGTCACCTGGATATTCCTAAGGGGGAAGAATGTATCTTGACTTTTACATTTTATACTAAACAGAAAAATAATTCCATATAGAGTATAGATCTAAAAATGTGATAGGTAAAACAACACATTAAGACTAGAATGTAGGAGAATACCTTCATGACCAATGGGTAGGCAATAAACAGGACATGAAAATGATTAAATTACTAAAATTACTAAAGGAAAAGCAATAATTTGTACTACAGCAAAATTAAGAAACTGTGTTCATTGAAAGATACTACCAAGTGAGTGAAAAGGCAAGCCAGAGTGGAAGAAGATATTTACAATACATCTATCCCACATTGAACCCAGAATCTGTAAAGAACCCTACAAATCAATAAGAAAGGGCAAGAAAATAGGCAAAAGGCCTAAATAGGTACTTCATAAAGGAAGATATACAAATGGTCAACAAACGTATGAAATGGTCAATTCAATGAGTCTCTCAGCAAATGCAAATGCAATGGATGAGACAGCACTACACACTCGTCAGAATGTCTACAATGAAAAAGATATATAATACCAAACCTGGGTGAGGATGTGGAACACCTGGACCTCTCATATAATGCTGAGGGTCATAACCATTTTGGAAAACTGTTTTGACATATCTGCTGATGCCGAATATACACTTACCGTCTGACTCAGCAGTTCCACTCCTAGGTATATCCCTGACAGAAACTCTTATGCATGTTTAGCAAAAGGCAGATAATAATAATGTCTGTGGCAATATGATCCAAAATGGACCAAAACTAGAAACCCAACTATCCATCAAAGATGGATACATAAACTGTTGTGTCTTCATACTGTGTACCTCCTGGGTAATGAAGTTTCATTTATATGAAGTTCAAGGAGTAGTAAAACTCATCAACGGAGTTAGAAATCAGTATACAGATTATTGGGGGGCAAGAAGGGAGGACAGTGGCTGCAAGGGAGCACAAGGGGGACTGCTGGGCGTACTGGTTCTGGGTGTTGGTTAAATGGGCATGTCACATTATGAAAATTTAACAAGTTGTCCAATTTGGTTACATATCTTATATTTCAATAAAACTTATAAAAAAATTTAAAATATCACTCTGCTCTGTGCAGAATATACAGGGGGCACGGAGACAGAATTGAAGAAAGTGGTGGTTTAGACTAAACTGGAGGCCATGGAAATGGGAGGAGTCAAAATTAAGATATATTTAAAGGTAGGGGCAGCCGGGTGGCTCAGTCGGTTAAGGGTTCAACTTGTGATTTCGGCTCAGGTCATAACTTTAGGGTTGTGAGACTGATCCCTTTATTGGGCTCTGCTCTGGGTGTGGAGCCTGCTTCAGATTCTCTCTCTCCTCTCCCTCAGCCCTGCCCCACCCCAAAAGATACATTTAAAGATAGAGCCTGTGCAGCCTGCAACTGGATTCAATGTAAGGAAGAGAAAAAGCAGCAGCAAAGGTGCCAGGCTTTTGGACTGGACACCCAGATGAATCTTAGAGCCATCTAATAAAATCAGAAAAACCAGAAGAAAAGGAGGTTGGTGGTGTGGGAACCGAGACTTCTTTTTTAGGACACAGTAAGTTGGAGATGCCCATTAGACATCCAAGTGGAAATGTCAAGTAGTGGGAGGGGTATACTCACCTAGAGCTCAGGGAGAGATTTTAGCTGTACATTGTGATGGTTAAAAGAGCAAACTATAGAATTAGACTCCCTGAGTCTATCACTTACCAGCTATGTGTCCTTGGGCAAGTTACTCAGCTGGGACACTCCATCTGCAAATGAGGTGTTTAAAATAATAAGAGAAATGATACTTGTAATTCGTGGCTGGCACACAGAAAACACTCAAAGGTACCTCTTATTACTACTGTTTTTGGTACTGTTGGCCACAGCAGCAGTCTAGTGCAAGGACTAGACACTGGATAGGATCACCCGGGAAGTGAGACTAGATGAAGAACAGCGTGAAGGCACCTAACCTTGAGAAGGAAGAGCAAA